CCCTCCTCACCACCACGTCCTCCATCCCCACACCCCCACGTCGTCCCCCCCCCTCACCACCATGTCCTCCATCACAGCTCTCAGTGGCACCGTGGTCACCCTCCACAGATGGCGGCTGTGGTTGACCTGCAGCTCCATCACGCACCCCGCAGAGCGGATCACCTCCTCCAGGTTGTGCCACAGGTTGGCCACGGGGCCTTGGGGGGGGGATGAAGGACGGCTCAGAGACCCCAAACTCGGCGATCCCACGTGGGGACGGGGCCGTGGAGGTGTCCCTACCACTGAAGATGGCGGCGATGACGAGGGAGAGGACGAAGATGCGGCCCTCCTTGCCCAGGAATTTGGGCACCACCAGCAGGCTGGCGCAGCGGATGTGGGGGGACACGGCCCACCCTAACGCCATCCCCCCTACGGGGGGCACAGAGTTGTCCCCCACTGTCCCACAGCCCCCTCCCATCGTCCCCCATCCCCCTGCTGGGGTGCCATCCTCACCCGCCAGCCCGCACGTCAGCTGCCATTTGAGCGTCTCCGCGATGCCCATGGGGACAATGAGGAGCTGGCAGAGCCCTGAAAGGCACGGAGTGTGGGAGACCCCAGTGCCACCAACCCCACGGTGCCCTGAGACCCCAATGCCACCAACCCTATTGTACCCTATTGTACCCTGTGCCCCCCAAAGCCCCCAACCCACAGTGCCCTGTGCTCCCAATGGGCACCAACCCCACTGTGCCCTTGTGTCCCCAATGCCACCAACCCCACAGTGCCCTGAGACCCCAAAGCCCCCTCCCCCCGGTGCCCCACACTCACCAAGCCCCATTAATGCCCCAAATCCCCCCCCCAGGAAGAATTTGGCACCGCGGTGCTGCTCAGGGCGGCTCCATAGGAACTGGGTGCAGGATTTGGGCAGCAGCGCAGCCAGCACCCGCTTCAGGGCTGGGGGGTTTTGGGGTGGGGGGTGAGCGTCAGCCCCACACACACCCCACAGCCGTGGGGTTGGGGTTGGGGGGGGGTCTCAACCGTTTGGGGGAAATGGGGGG